GGCGGTTTTGGGGGAAGGGGGGGAGGGGATGGCGGCTCCGGGAGCGGATCCCTGGGACCTGGGGGTGATCGGGGGGTACTTCCTGCTCGTCATGGCTGTGGGGCTCTGGGTAAGGAGAAAGAAAAAATAATTTTAAAAAAAAATTCCTCAAAATCCCTGGAAATCAACCCAAAAATTCACCCTAAAAAAAGGGGAGGGGGGGAGGGGATGGCGGCTCCGGGAGCGGACCCCTGGGACCTGGGGGTGATCGGGGGGTACTTCCTGCTCGTCATGGCTGTGGGGCTCTGGGTAAGGAGAAAGAAAAAATAATTTAAAAAAAGAAAATCCCAAAATCCCTGGAAATCAACCCAAAAATTCACCCTAAAAAATCCTCCCAAAAATTCACCCCCAAATCCTGGAATTTCACCCCAAAATCCCAGAAAATCAACCAAAAAATTCGCCCTAAAAATCTCCAAAAATTCACCCCCAAAATCCTGGAAATTCACCCCCAAAATCCCTGGAAATCAACCCAAAAATTTACCCTAAAGAAATCCCCCCAAAAATCACCCCAAAAAATCTCCCTGAAAATAACCCCAAAAAAATCACCCTAAAAAAATCACCCCAAAATCATGGAATTTCAGCCCAAAACCGCTGAAAATCAACCCGAAAATTCACCCTAAAAATATATTTTTAAAAAATCACCCCAAAATCCTGGAAATTCCCCCCAAAAAACCTGAAAATCAACTGAAAAATTCACCCTAAAAATCTAAAAATAAACTCACGCCAAAATCCCTGAAAATCCCGGAATTTCACCCCAAAAATCCCTGAGAATGAACACAAAAATTCACCCTAAAAATCTCAAAAAATCACCTGAAAAAACCCCCTAAAATCCTGGAAATTCACCCCAAAATCCCTGAAAAATCAACCAAAAATTCAACCCTAACATCTCAAAAAACAATCCCCCCAAAAATCACCCCAAAATCCTGGCATTTCACCCCAAAATCATACCTGAAAATCAACTGAAAAATTCACCCTAAAAATCTAAAAATAAACTCACGCCAAAATCCCTGAAAATCCCGGAATTTCACCCCAAAAATCCCTGAGAATGAACACAAAAATTCACCCTAAAAATCTCAAAAAATCACCTGAAAAAAACCCCTAAAATCCTGGAAATTCACCCCAAAATCCCTGAAAATCAACCCAAAAATTCACCCTAAACATCTCAAAAAACAATCCCCCCAAAAATCACCCCAAAATCCTGAAAATTCACCCCAAAATCCCAAAAATGAACACAAAAATTCACCCTCAAAAAATCCCCCCCAAATATCACCCCAAAATCCTAGAATTTCACCCCAAAATCCCTAAAAATCAACCTGAAAATTCACCCTAAAAAATCCCCCTAAAAATCAACCTTAAAATCCACCCCAAAAAACCCACCCTAAAAACCCCCAAAATCCTGGAAATTCACCCCAAATTCCCAGAAAAATCAAACAGAAATTCACCCTAAAAATCCACTCCAAAAATCCCAAAATCCCCCAAAATCAACCCAAAAATTCACCTCAAAAAAAATCCCCCTCAAAAATCACCCCAAAATTCTGGAATTTCACCCCAAAATCCCTGAAAATTAACACAAAAATTCACCCTAAAAAAATCCCTCCCAAAAATCATCCCAAAATCCTGGAATTTCACCCCAAAATCCCAGAAAATCAACCCCAAAAATTCACCCTAAAAAAAAAAACCCCAAAATTCTGGAAATTCAACCCAAAATCCCAGAAAATCAACCTAAAAATTCACACTAAAAAATCACCCCAAAAAAATCAACCTAAAAAACCCAAAAATCCACCCTAAAACCCCCGAAATCCTGGAATTTCACCCCAAATTCCCAGAAAATCAACCCCCCCAAAAATCACCCTAAAAATCCCTCAAAAAATCAACCTGAAAATACCAAAAATTCCCCCAAAAAATCACCCCAAAAACCATAAAAATTCACAAATCCTGAAAATCACCCCCCAAAAAAATCTAGCTTAAAATATCCCCAAAATCCTGGAAATTCACCCTTCACCCTAAAAAAATCCTCCCAAAAATCACCCCAAAATCCCTGAAAATCCACCCAAAAAATTCACCCTAAAAAAATCCCCCAAAAAATCACCCCAAAATCCTGGAAATTCACCCCAAAATACCTGAAAATCAACTGAAAAATTCACCCTAAAAATCTAAAAATAAACTCACGCCAAAATCCCTGAAAATCCCGGAATTTCACCCCAAAAATCCCTGAGAATGAACACAAAAATTCACCCTAAAAATCTCAAAAAATCACCTGAAAAAACCCCCTAAAATCCTGGAAATTCACCCCAAAATCCCTGAAAAATCAACCAAAAAATTCACCCTAAACATCTCAAAATAAATCACCCCAAAAATCACCCCAAAATCCTGGCATTTCACCCCAAAATCCCTGAAAATCAACCCAAAAATTCACCCTAACAATCACCTGAAAAAAAAACCAAACAAAAAAACCCACTAAAATCCTGTAAAATCACCCCAAAATCCCTGAAAATTAACACAAAAATTCACCCTAAAAAAATCCCTCCCAAAAATCATCCCAAAATCCTGGATATTCACCCCAAAATCCCTGAAAATCAACCCCAAAAATTTACCCTAAGAATCTCCAGGAAATCAACCCTGAAAACCCCCAAAATCCTGGAAATTCACCCCAAAATCCCAGAAAAAAAACAAACAGAAATTCACCCTAAAAAATCCACTCAAAAAAATCCCCAAATCCCCGAAAATCAGCCCAAAAAATTCACCCTAAAAAAATCCTCCCAAAAATCACCCCAAAATCCTGGAATTTCACCCCAAAATCCCAGAAAATCAGCAAAAAATTCACCCTAAAAATCTCCTAAAATTCACCCCAAAATCCTGGAAATTCACCCCAAATTCCCAGAAAAATCAAACAGAAATTCACCCTAAAAATCCACTCCAAAAATCCCAAAATCCCCCAAAATCAACCCAAAAATTCACCTCAAAAAAAATCCCCCTCAAAAATCACCCCAAAATTCTGGAATTTCACCCCAAAATCCCTGAAAATTAACACAAAAATTCACCCTAAAAAAATCCCTCCCAAAAATCATCCCAAAATCCTGGACTTTCACCCCAAAATCCCAGAAAATCAACCCCAAAAATTCACCCTAAAAAAAAAAACCCCAAAATTCTGGAAATTCAACCCAAAATCCCAGAAAATCAACCTAAAAATTCACACTAAAAAATCACCCCAAAAAAATCAACCTAAAAAACCCAAAAATCCACCCTAAAACCCCCGAAATCCTGGAATTTCACCCCAAATTCCCAGAAAATCAACCCCCCCAAAAATCACCATTCACCCCAAAATCCCTGAAAAATCAACCAAAAAATTCACCCTAAACATCTCAAAATAAATCACCCCAAAAATCACCCCAAAATCCTGGCATTTCACCCCAAAATCCCTGAAAATTAACACAAAAATTCACCCTAAAAAAATCCCTCCCAAAAATCATCCCAAAATCCTGGACTTTCACCCCAAAATCCCAGAAAATCAACCCAAAAAAATTTACCCTAAGAATCGCCAGGAAATCAACCCTGAAAACCCCCCAAAATTCTGGAATTTCACCCCAAAATCCCAGAAAATCAACCTAAAAATTGACCCTAAAAAATCACCCCAAAAAAATCAACCAAAAAAACCCAAAAATCCACCCTAAAAACCCCCGAAATCCTGGAATTTCACCCCAAATTCCCAGAAAATCAACCACCCAAAAAAATCACCCTAAAAATCCCTCAAAAAATCAACCTGAAAATACCAAAAATTCCCCCAAAAATCACCCCAAAAACCATAAAAATTCACAAATCCTGAAAATCACCCCCCAAAAAAATCTAGCTTAAAATATCCCCAAAATCCTGGAAATTCACCCTAAAACAATCACCACCCCACCCCCAATCAAACTGAAAAACCTGGAAATCCACCCTAAAAATCCCCCAAAAATCTCCCCAAAAACCATAAAAATTCACAAATCCTGAAAATCACCCCCCAAAAAAATCTAGCTTAAAATATCCCCAAAATCCTCGAAATTCACCCTAAAACAATCACCACCCCACCCCCAATCAAACTGAAAAACCTGGAAATCCACCCTAAAAATCCCCCAAAATTCTGGAAATTCTCCCCAAAAATTCACCCTAAAAAACCCCAAAAATCCCCAAAAATAAAAAAAAATCCCAAAAAATTCCCCAAAAGAATCCACCCTAAAAAAAGATCCCAAAATTCTGGAAATTCACCCCAAAAATTCACCCTAAAAACCCCAAAATCCTGAAAATTCACCCCAAAGATTCAGCCTAAAAAAATCCCAAAATTCTGGAAATTCACCCCAAAAATTCACCCTAAAAACCCCAAAATCCTGAAAATTCACCCCAAAAATTCAGCCTAAAAAAATCCCCAAAATCCTGGAAATTCAACCCAAAAATTCACCCTAAAAATCTCTAAAAAATTACCACAAAAATCCACCACAAAAATCCCCAAATCCAAAAAACTTACCCCAAACTTTCACCCTAAAATAAAAAAAAAATCAACCAAAAAAACCCCCAAAATCCTGGAAATTCACCCCAAAATCCAAAAAAAATCACCCCAAAAATTCACGCTATAAAAAATCCACCCTAAAAAAATCCGCTCTAAAAATCCCCAAATTCTGGAAATTCACCCCAAAAATTCACCCTAAAAATCCCCAAAAAGATCACCCCAAAGCTCCCAAAAATCCACCAAAAAATACCCAAAATCCCAAATATTCACCCTCAAAAAATTCCACCTTAAAAACCCCAAAATCCCAGAAATTCACCCCAAAAATTCACCCTAAAATTAAAAAAAAAATCCACCAAAAATATTCCCAAAATCTCAGAGATTCACCCCAAAAAACAATCCTAAAAAACCCCAAATCCCAAAAATTCAGCCCCAAAATTCCCCCTGAAAATCCCAAAATCCCAGAAATTCGACCCAAAAGTCTGGTTTGTACTGGTCTATACTGGTCTATACCGGTCCATATTGGTTTATACTGGTTTATACTGGTTTATACTGGTTTATACTGGTTTATAGTGCTAGGCGAGCTAGCAATTCAAGATGGCGGCCAAATAATGCAATCCAAGATGGCCGCCAAGACAGTTGTCCAACATGGCTGCCAATGACAGCAGCCAGGTGGGACTGGGAGCACTGGTTTGGACTGGGAGGGGATTGGGACAGTCCATACTGGTTTATCCTGGTTTATAGCGCTAGGCGAGCTAGCAATTCAAGATGGCGGCAAAATAATGCAATCCAAGAGGGGCGCCAAGACAGTTGTCCAACATGGCTGCCAATGACAGCAGCCAGGTGGGACTGGGAGCACTGGTTTGGACTGGGAGGGGATTGGGACAGTCCATACTGGTTTATCCTGGTTTGTACTGGTCCCAGACCCTGCGCAGGCGCGGTGGGCGGAGCCTCTCCGGGTATTTCCTGGCCGGACGCAGCATGACCTGGGCCCCGGTGAGTGTCCAAACTGGTTTGTACTGGTTTGTACTGGTTTGTACTGGGAGGGATTGAGAGGGACTGGTTTGAACTGGTTTTGAACTGGTTTGAACTGCTTTTATACTGGTTTATACTGGGAGGGACTTGCTGGGACTGGTTTATATTGGTTTGAACTGGTTTATACTGGTTTGAACTGGTTTTATACCAGTTTATACTGGTTTGAGCTGGTTTGAACTGGTTTGAACAGGTTTTATACTGGTTTAGTCTGGTTTGAACTGGTTTTATACTGGTTTATACTGGTTTGAACCAGTTTTGATCTGGTTTGAACTGGTTTTATACTGGTTTATACTGGTTTGAACCAGTTTTGATCTGGTTTGAACTGGTTTTATACTGGTTTCAACTGGTTTGAGCTGGTTTTTACTGGTTTGAGCCATTTTGAACTGCTTTTATACTGGTTTGAACTGGTTTGAGCTGGTTTATACTGGTTTGAACTGCTTTTATACTGGTTTGAGCCATTTTGAACTGGTTTTATACTGGTTTGAACTGGTTTATACTGGTTTTGATCTAGTTTTATACTGGTTTGAACTGGTTTATGCTGGTTTATACTGGTTCAAACTGGTTTTATACTGGTTTGAGCCGGTTTGAACTGGTTTGAACCAGTTTTATACTGGTTTGAACCCTTTTGAACTGGTTTTATACTGGTTTGAACTGGTTTGAACCCTTTTGAACTGTTTCTATACTGGTTTGAACTGGTTTGAGCTGGTTTGAACTGGTTTTATACTGGTTTCAACTGGTTTGAGCTGGTTTTTACTGGTTTGAGCCGGTTTGAACTGGTTTTATACCGGTTTGAACTGGTTTGAACTGATTTGATCTGCTTTTATACTGGTTTGAACTGGTTTTGTACTGGTTTGAACTGGTTTTATACTGGTTTCAACTGGTTTGAGCTGGTTTTTACTGGTTTGAGCTGTTTTGAACTGGTTTTATACTGGTTTGAACTGATTTGAACTGGTTTTGTACTGGTTTGAACCGATTTGAGCTGGTTTTATACTGGTTTGAGCCGGTTTTATACTGGTTTGAACTGGTTTACACTGGGAGCGGAGGGGTCATTTCCGGGGTCACTCCGGGGTCGCTCCGGGGTCACTCCGGGGTCACTCCGGGGTCACTCCGGGGTCACCCGTCCCCTCCCCTCCCCCCCTTCCAGGTGGGGGCGTCGCTCTTTGCCAGCAACATCGGCTCCGGGCACTTCGTGGGGCTGGCGGGGACGGGCGCGGCCGGCGGCATCGCCGTGGGAGGCTTCGAGTGGAGCGTGAGTCGCGACGTGGCGCGATAGGGGGCGATATGTCGCGATAGGCCGTGGTATATCGCGATATAGCGCCGTTTATCGCATGGCGGGGACGGGCGCGGCCGGCGGCATCGCCGTGGGAGGCTTCGAGTGGAGCGTGAGTCGCGATATGTCGCGATAGGGGGGCGATATGTCGCGATAGGCCGTGCTATATCGCGATATATCGCTGTTTATCGCGGTATATCGCGATATATCGCCGTTTATCGCGGTATATCGCGATATATCCCCCCCCCAGGGTGGGTCTGTCGCGATATCGGGGTCCCCAACACCGCCCCCTGCTGGTTCTGTCGCGATATTGCAAACCCCCAGTGGTTCTATCGCGATATTGGCGTTCTTAACAGCGCCCCCCGCTGGTTCTGTCGCGATATCGGGGTCCCCAACACCGCCCCCCGCTGGTTCTGTCGCGATATCGGGGTCCCCAACACCGCCCCCCGCTGGTTCTGTCGCGATAGAGGAACCCCCTGATGGTTCTATCGCGATATAACAGCGCCCCCTGGTGGTTCTATGGCGATACTGGGGTCCGCGACAGCGCCCCCTGCTGGTTCTGTCGCGATATAACAGCACCCCCATGGTTCTATCGCGATACTGGCGTTCTTAACAGCGCCCCCTGCTGGTTCTGTCGCGATAGAGGAACCCCCTGATGGTTCTATCGCGATACAACGGCGCCCCCTGGTGGTGCTGTCGGGATATCGCAACCCCCCAGCGGTTCTATCGCGATATTTGGGTTCTTAACAGCGCCCCCTGCTGGTTCTGTCGCGATATCGGGGGCCCCAACACCGCCCCCTGCTGGTTCTGTCGCGATATCGGGGGCCCCAACACCGCCCCCTGCTGGTTCTGTCGCGATATCGGGGGCCCCAACACCGCCCCCTGCTGGTTCTGTCGCGATATCGGGGGCCCCAACACCGCCCCCTGCTGGTTCTGTCGCGATATCGGGGGCCCCAACACCGCCCCCTGCTGGTTCTGTCACGATATTGAAACATCCCAGTGGTTCTATCGCGATACAACGGCGCCCCCTGGTGGTTCTGTCGCGATATCGCAACCCCCCAGCGGTTCTATCGCGATATTTTAATTGGCTCCATATATGGGTGGAACCCAAGTGGGCGTGGCCTAAGTGGGTGTGGGCGTGGTCTAAATGGGTTGTGGGCTGAGTGGGCATGTCCTACAGGGTGTGGGCGTGGTCTAAACGGGTCGTGGGATAAGTGGGCGTGGCCTATGGGGTGTGGGCGTAGTCTAAATTCGTTGTGGCCTGAGTGGGCGTGGCCTACGGGGTGTGGGCGTGGTCTAAATGAGTTCTGGGATGCGTGGGCGTGGCCTATGCGGTGTGGGCGTGGTCAAAACGAGTTGTGGGATAAGTGGGCGTGGCCTATAGGGTGTGGGCGTGGTTTAAATGAGTTCTGGGATAAGTGGGTGTGGCCTATGGGGGTGTGGGCGTGGCCTAAACGGGTTGTGGTCTAAGTGGGCGTGGCCTACGGGGGTGTGGGCGTGGTCTAAACGGGTTGTGGGCTAAGTGGGCGTGGTCTATGGGGTGTGGGCGTGGCCTAAATGGGTTGTGGGTGAAGTGGGCGTGGCCTAAGGGGTGTGGGCGTGGTCTAAACGGGTTGTGGGCTAAGTGGGCGTGGCCTACGGGGTGTGGGGGTGCCTGTGGGCGTGGCCTGAGCGGGCGCGGCCCTGTGGGCGTGGCCAGGTGAGCACCATGCCCGAGTACCTGGGCCGGCGCTTCGGCGGGGGGCGGATCCGGCTCTACCTGGCGCTGCTCTCCCTGGGGCTCTACGTCAGCACCAAGATCTCGGTACTGGTGGGAGGGACTGGGAGGGAACGGGGATGGGTTTTTACTGGTTTATACTGGTCTATACTGGTTTTACTGGTTTATACTGGTTTTACCTGGTTTGTACTGGTTTGTACTGGTTTATATTGGTTTGTACTGGGAGGGGTGTGGGAGGGACAGGGAGGGAACTGGGAGGGACTGGGAATGGATTGAGATTGGTTTGTAATGTTTTTTTACTGGTTTATACTGGGAGGGACTGGGAATGGATTGAGATTGGTTTATAATGTTTTTTACTGGTTTATACTGGTTTTTAATGGTTTATACTGGTTTGTACTGGTTTATACTGGGAGGGAACAGGGATGATACAGGGAGGGACTGGGAGGGATCCCAGTTCCATCCCAGTCCCTCCCAGTCCCTCCCAGTCCCTCCCAGTCCATCCCAGTCCCTCCCAGTCCCTCCCAGTTCCCTCCCAGTCCCTCCCAGTCCCTCCCAGTCCATTCCCAGTCCATTCCCAGTCCATTCCCAGTCCGTTCCCGGTCCCTCCCAGTCCAAACCAGTCCAAACCAGTCCCTCCCAGTCCAAACCAGTCCAAACCAGTCCAAACCAGTCCAAACCAGTACAAACCAGTGCCCCGCAGGTGGACATGTACTCGGGGGCGCTGTTCATCCGCGAGGCGCTGGGCTGGGACCTCTACGGCTCCGTGGGGGCGCTGCTGGGCGTCACCGCGCTCTACACCGTCACTGGTTCGTACTGGTTTGTACTGGTTTGTACTGGTTTGGACTGGGAGGGGTCTGGGGTAAACTGGGAAGGGACTGGGAGGGGTCTGGGTTATACTGGGAGGGGATTAAAGGGTTAAAAATTGAGGGAAATCGGGGTTGGAGGCGATTCTTTATACTGGTTTATACTGGTTTGTACTGGTTTGTACTGGTTTGTACTGTGAGGGGTCTGGGGTGAACTGGGAATGGACTGGGAGGGACTGGGTTATACTGGGAGGGGGTGAAAGGGTTAAAAATTGAGGGAAATCGGTGTTGGAGGCGATTTTTTATACTGGTTTATACTGGTTTGTACTGGTTTGGGACTGGTTTGTACTGGTTTGTACTGGTTTGGGACTGTTTTTACTGGTTTACACTGGGACAGGACAGGTTTGGACTGGTTTATCCTGGTTTATACTGGTTTAAACTGGTTTAAACTGGTTTATACTGGTTTATACTGGGAGGGCACTGGGAGCTTACTGGTCACTACTGGGGTTTGTGGGCGTGGCCAAAGCTTGTCTGGGCGTGGCTTAAATGAGTGTGGGCGTGACCTGAATGCCTTTGGGGCTGGTGGGCGTGGCCTAATGGATCTGGGCGTGGCTTAATATTTCTGGGCGTGGCCTAAGCGGGTCTGGGCGTGGCCTGACTACTGGGACAGGACAGGTTTGGACTGGTTTATCCTGGTTTATACTGGTTTAAACTGGTTTAAACTGGTTTATACTGGTTTATACTGGGAGGGCACTGGGAGCTTACTGGTCACTACTGGGGTTTGTGGGCGTGACCAAAGCTTGTCTGGGCGTGGCCTAACCGGGTGTGGGCGTGGCTTAAATGGGTCTGGGCGTGGTTTTGGAGCAGTGGGTGTGGCCTAATGGGTCTGGGCGTGGCCTAAGTGGTCTGGGCGTGGCTTAAATGGGTCTGGGCGTGGTTTAATATTTGTGGGCGTGGCCTAATTGATATGGGCGTGGCCCGATTGCTCTGGGCGTGGCCTAATCGGGTGTGGGCGTGGTTTAGATGGATCTGGGCGTGGTTTTGGAGTAGTGGGTGTGGCCTAATGGCTCTGGGTGTGGCTTAAATGGATCTGGGCGTGGTTTTGGGGTAGTGGGTGTGGCCTAATGGCTCTGGGCGGGGCCTAACTGGGTCTGGGTGTGGTTTTGGAGTAGTGGGTGTGGCCTAATGGCTCTGGGTGTGGCTTAAATGGATCTGGGCGTGATTTTGGGGTAGTGGGTGTGGCCTAAGTGGTCTGGGCGTGGCCTAAGTGGGTATAGGCGTGGCTTAATATTTGTGGGCGTGGCCTAACGGTGTGTGTGCCTGTGTGGGCGTGGCCTGTGGCGGTGGGCGTGGCCAGGCGGGCTGACGGCGCTGATGTTCGCCGACCTGCTGCAGACGCTGATCATCATCGCGGGCGCCTCCGTGCTGGCCGGCTACGGTGGGGACACTGGTCCATACTGGTTTATACTGGTCTGCTGGGAGGGACTGGGAGGGACTGGGAAGCAACACTGTGGTGTTTTACTGGTTTATACTGGTTTATACTGGTCCATACTGGTCCGTACTGGTCCATACTGGTCTATACTGGTCCATACTGGTCCATACTGGTCCATACTGGTCTATACTGGTCCATACTGGTTTATACTGGTTTATACTGGTCCATACTGGTCCTGAATCTTACTGGGAATGTCGTGGGGGGAGGCACCACCCTCTGTCCAATCCCCAACCCCTATACTGGTTTATACTGGTCCATACTGGTCTATATTGGTTTTTATTGGTCCATACTGGTTTTTACTGGTTTTTACTGGTTTTTACTGGTTTTTACTGGTCCATATTGATCCTGAACCTCATGGGGGACACACTGTGAGGAGGCACCACACACCGCCCCAACCCAACCCTACCTCCCATACTGGTTTATACTGGTTTTTACCGCTCCATACTGGTTTCCACCCCTCCATACTGGTCCGTACTGGTTTATACTGGTTTAAACTGGTTTTTACTGGTCCATATTGATCCTGAACCTTATGGGGGACACACTGGGAAGAGGCACCGCCCACTGTCCCACCCCAGCCCTACCTCCCATACTGGTTTATACTGGTTTATACTGTTTTTTACCACTTCATACTGGTTTATACTGGTCCGTACTGGTTTTTACTGGTTTATACTGGTTTTTACTGGTTCATACTGGTCCATATTGATCCTGAACCTCATGGGGGCCACACTGTGAGGAGGCACCACCCACTGTCCCACCCCAGCCCTACCTCCCATACTGGTTCATACTGGTTTTTACCGCTCCATACTGGTTTCTACCCCTCCATACTGGTTCATACTGGTTTATACTGGTTTATACTGGTTTATACTGGTTTTTACTGGTTCATACTGGTCCATATTGATCCTGAACCTTATGGGGGACACACTGTGAGGAGGCATCACACACCGCCCCAACCCAACCCTACCTCCCATACTGGTTTATACTGGTTTTTACCGCTCCATACTGGTTTCCACCCCTCCATACTGGTCCGTACTGGTTTATACTGGTTTTCACCACTCCATACTGGTTCCTACCCCTCCATACTGGTTCATACTGGTTTGTACTGGTTTCCGGCAGCGCTGGGCGCCGTGGGCGGGTACCAGGGCCTGCTGGAGCGCTACCCGCTGGCGCTGCCCCCCAACGCCTCGGGGCCCTGCGGGCGGCCGCGCCCCGACGCCTTCCACCTGCTGCGGCACCCGAGCACCGGGGACCTGCCCTGGCCGGGGCT